CTACATATCTCTGTGCCTTATGGTATAGAATTAGACCTGCTCAGAAGTGTATCCAATATGCAGTACTTCTAAGAATGATTCACCTTGAGCTCAAGTGGCAGGGATATGGCTGAAGGAGGAGGCTGCCTAGAATTCCCTACTATTACCAGGAAGATCCCATGGTCGAGGTGTGCAGCACAAATGAAACTATGAAGTTGCTAACTGGACACCAACTTGTAAAAATGTTAACAAGATTTAAGAAAGGTTGAGAGATCTTAAACAGTTTTTCCTTTAAAAAAAGTAAGGGCCAGGACCACAGCTGGGGCAAATAAACATAGTTCCATTGACTTCAATGGCATTATCCCCAAACTTAAAGTTAGGCATGTGCCTATCTCTCTCTCTCTTACTGGACTGGATCCAAACAGCCTGATATAACCTCCATCAAAGTCAATGAGAAGATTTAACTAACCAAATGTGCTATACAATTCAGTGTTCTAAGCTCAAGACTCAAAGATGCAAATGCAAAAATCAACATTCCAAAAGCAATAACCCAGCCATATTTACAGGACAAGAACACATTCACTTATTGCAATGGCTGTACTTAGTCAATGGAAAAAAATGGTTAATTCTTATTATTTTAATGAAACCTTTGAGTTTATCAGAATTCAGACTATTATGGCATCTGTAGTATAATTAGGAATATGAACGCGTAACTGTGTACATCAGTGATGTGGACTCATCAGTTAACCTTCATAGTTACATGCAGGCTCCCAGTATTCACGGTGGCCAGTAGAGATGTCATCATGTAGACGACTTATTGGTTAATCCCGTCGACAACACACATTTCCCCCTCTTGTTGCCACTGTATCAAAGGCAGCAGGGAAGGAACTGGAGCCAGTGCCCATGAGGAGATGGCTTAAAAGCTAGTTCCCCACAAGCACCGGATCCATTTCCCCTCCCCCCCCCCTCCATTCCCCCAAGGCTTGGACTGCTGCCTCTGACAGGGTAGGCTGGAACTGATATGTGCAGGGAGGTGGATTTCAAGCAGGTTTCCCTCATTTGCCAGCTCTGTGGACCCACCTGCCCCCCTGCTGCTGCCTCCTACAGCAGTGGTGGGAAGGGGCAGGGCCCGGTGCTTGAGGCAGCCAGCTTAAAAGCTGGTTCCCCGTAGCACCTCCTCCGCGGTGCTGCCTGTCCCTCCCCATAGGGAGGGCAGGGGAGGCTGCACAAAGTAGCCTCTGCCCTTGGACAGTCTGAGCTCCCTGCTTACCGAGGATGCACTGCATTCCATGGAGCTGCCTCTGTCCATGGTGAGCCTGGGCCTGCTGTGAACAGCGGCCTCTGTCCACAGGCAGTTCAGAACTCTCCTCCCCACCCCCACACACAAGGGCTGCTGCCAGCCCACACTGCTCCCTCTGTATCAGAGACAGCAGCGCCTCTGATTCAATGTGTTGGCTGTATCAGAGGCAGCAGCATGGGGTGGTAGGCAGCTGGTCCTCAAGGGGGCTGATTTTTAAACTGGCTCCCCTCACAGACCAGCTCCCCTTACCATCCCGCGTGCCGCCTCTGACAGTGAGGCAGCAGCGGGCCTCCTGGGAGTGGAGCTGGCAGAGCACTGGCTGCTGGCCCTGCCCCTGGGGCTATACGATAGTCATTTAACGGCTAAGATTTCATGCAGTGAAACATCCCTAGGGGTCAGCTTAAAAGCCAGCTCCTGGCATACACTGGCTCCCAGGGAGCTGCCTGTCATTCCCCCACCCCCACCCCACGTGTAGCCACGGCAGTTTTTCAGCAGTTACACGTTTACTTGAATAAATGAATTTTAACATCCCTAATTATAACCTGACAAGTCAGACCTCATTCCTAGGGTAGGGTGGGGGAGACTGTACTTTTATTAACATAATTATATAGATATCTGTAGATTCCAGAAGCAGAAGGATCATCTAATACTCTATTGCCCAATTCTAATATTTCTAGAGCCTGTATTTTCACTGCAGGATTAGGAGATAAGTAAATGTCAGAGAAGTCATGGGAGTTACTCCGACCCTTCAATTTCAATAACAATGATTGACATAATGGCTGTGGGTTAACTAATTATATATACACAAGTAAAATATGAATCTATGCAAGGAAGCAATAAATAAATACTTAATCTGAGTCAGACCTATTTAAATGTTTAGCTGCTGGTGGTGTGAGAGAGATTAATTTAAACTCAATGCTCAAAATGTTCCAAGGACTTTAATACATTATAACTGATGTTTTCCATCTTCTGATGCATCTTGCCAGTGCATCACTGTTGTTGATTATTGATGTTTAAATCTGAAAATTTAACAATTATTTATATGTACGGAATTTGCAGCATCCAGCCAAAAAGCAATACAGATGTGGGGGCAAATTATTCTCAAAAGCTCCATTTTCTGAATCACTGTGAGTTTGTAGCTAATCTTTGGTCACTTGGGAGCACTCCCTTGTAGCTATGTGGCACACCCTGGCCTCTCAGATATTCACTATGATAGCAAGATATGAAAATAAATTCTCCAGCTCCAAAGGCCCTGCCTTCTACTCTTGGAACTAAAAAAGAATATCAGTTAGGTGTCACACCAGAGGGCCTTCAGGCTGCTCTTTGCACATGGAGACACATACCATCATGGAGAAGCTTGCAGGGCAGAGATGGTGACAATGTGATGCACAAATCGAGAGCACCAGGGAATGACCATGTCTGTGTCCTGTCCTAAATAAAACAGTCTTTTCCTGCTTACTATCAGCAAGTACTGTCTTTTCTCTATCAGGAGGGACATTATTCAGACTAAGATGCAGTTGCAGCTGATGCAGGTCTAATTCCATTCAGTAAAGGGCAGTAATTAGAACTAACAGCGTAGAGGCCAAGTATCAGCTCTGGAGTAAGGAAGCAAGATAGGGATAGGAGCAAGAATGAGCAACAACTGCTAGACTGAAACTCATAAGAGGCTCAAGCCATAACATTTTCACATGGATTTTTAATCCCCTCCCCCTGTGAGCTGCTGCTGCTGGCTGAAAAGCAGGCCAGCTGTCTCCCCTCAGCCAGTCAGGCAGGTCTATGCAATGCAGCTGAGTTCATTAGTCTGCCTAGAGGCTGGGCATGGCTAATCCTCAAACTCAGCAGAAGGTGTTCAGTCCTGACAGATAGCAACAATTCTGAACAGCCGTAACTTGTAAGATTTCAAAATTTGTTTCCACGCTGGAACAAAAACAAAACCTTTCCAGTGTTTTCCCAAAAATCTGTGTGCATCCAAGAGCTAGGGTCCAGTCCCTGCTCTGCCTGACTCAGAGTGGAGTTTTTCCTCCCAAACCATGCAACAGGACTATGCAGCACTTTAAAGACTAACAAGATGGTTTATTAGGTAATGAGCTTTTGTGGGCCAGACCCACTTCCTCAGATCAAATTGTGGAAGAATATTGGCATATTTATTACTATTCTCCATGTATAGAGAATAGAGTACACCTCTATTACTATTCTCCATGTTCGATCAGGCAGAGTTCAGACTTGCTTCAGTTCCCAGTGTCCTAGTCACCCAGCCATAGGGAATCTCTTTGCTCTCTTTTCAGCCTCCCTGACAAAAGTTTAAAGGAAGCTGATCTGTCCCCATAAAACATTTCAGCAACACAAAATAGCATATTTTGCCAAAATGACATTTCAGATTATTTCCACTGACATCTTCCAGCAGTAGGACACACTGGTCATTTCACTACTCTGTTATTTAACCCTCAGCTTAATAACATAAACATTATTTTCTCTTTGGATGTAGGTCAGTGGAAAGAGGTGATAGTATTGTTCCATGAGAAATTTAAAAGGCCACTGATTTAATTTGTTGATAAATTACTTATGATTGGAGATGGGATCAAGCCATCACATTTTGACCTGGATTTTAAATCCCCTCCTTCCAGTTTCAGAAAGATTCGGTTAGTGGGGTAATGTTCAGCTGGCTACAAAATGTAGAAAAGAACCCTATTTGGATTCTAAACAACCCTCAAGGCTACAGAAGTTTGAACATACGAATAGGCATATTGGGTCAGACCAAAGGTCCATCTAGCTCAGTAATCAGACGGTGGCCAATACCAAGTGCCATCAAGGGAATGAACAGAACAAATAATTATCAAGTGACTCATCCCCTGTTGGCCATTTTGCAGCTTCTGGCAAACAGACACTATCCCTACCCATCAATGTTCCCTCTAATTTTTTCCATCTCTGGACGGAATACATTTTGTTATGTACACTAAAGCATGTGTGGATGTGCACCACCAGTAGCAATATTTATTGCCTGCTGTGGGCACTGTGCTAATCAGCTGGGTGGCATCTGTATCTCTCTTGGGTGGCCACCCAAGGGCTCAGTTTACAGGGAACCCTGCAGCCCAGCCTAGCTAATAGCCATTGATGGACCTATCCTTCATGAAT